TCACTGAAAGATCTTGCTTTTGACAAATCTCTCCTGTGCTTCCCTCAGGACCTCAGCACAGGACTCTGGGTTGAGTCCTTGAGGACTGTACACAAGGAAAGCCAATTCCAGAATCCTTATTCCAAGCTGTGTAGGTATTTATTAGTAAGAACTAGAACCTTGAATTTGAAACAGTTTGGGAAGCTTACAGGCAACCAGTACAGATTGCTCACTCGTCTCTGGGATTCTTTGCATCATGTCTGATCCCAGCCAGAAATCTGCTGGCAGTGTTTTGCATCAACTGAAGTTTCCAAGTATGAAAAGCATTTTATTATTGTTAAGATATGTAATAATCCCTGTTTTAAAGGCTATTTATGAAATAAGAGAGATAGAACTGTTTGGTTGTAGTGCTGTGGTCTAGAACCTGAATCTATTCTTCTTAGATCATGGAATTAATTTTTAAGCTTTGTTTTACAGAGACAATTGCCACTCTTACCTTCATTTAATAAATAGTATATTCTGTTTACATTGTTTAAGTACCAAGACACTTTCAAGGGCAGGATACAAAAATTTCAAATAAATAAGTATTTATACATATTGTAAGAAATGGTAAGTATTTATTATTAGAAGGGGGCTATTGATATAAAAAGAATTCTGAGAAGATTTCCCTGTCATATTGACCTAAATGTTCTGCATTTCATTGTTAGTAAAATCACTGTCATCTTTCTGCTTGAATCCTGAGGATCATGGCAGTTGTTGAATAGCTGTTAACATCCCCCTCTTGATAAGATGCTTGAACAGGCAATAGCTGCATTTCTAGGAGTTCTTAGATGAGTCTCATAATCGGGATCCATTTCAGTCTGGTTTCAGGCCTGGTTTTACTATAGAGGTTGTCTTGGTCAAGCTGACACATAGCAGGAGGACAGAAATGTGACTCTGCTAATTTTACTGGATCTCTCAGTGGATTTTGATAACTGTTACCTTCTAGGTAGGCTCTCTGGTTTGGGAGTTAAAGGTGTGTTGTTATGGAGGGCTAATACTAGAAGGTGCTTCTGTAGGACTCCTGTTTAGCTCCGTGGTAGGATTGAATCTTGTCTCTATGCTTTAACATTTGTATTAAACAGCTGGAAAAGGTAATTCATGCATTTGGGGTGAGTTACTGTTGGGATGCGGATGTTTCTCTTTTCAGCAGATTCAGCTGAGGCACTAGTTCAGATGGTGAACTAGTGCTTAGATTGAGCAATGTGTTGGATAAAAACCAATCAAGTCAAACTCAGTCTTGACAAGATGCAGGTTCTTGGTGATTTGTCTATTCAATGACAATGTTCTTTGTATATAGGGTGGGATTCCCTCAAAGGGCTAACTTCATAGGCTGGAAATATTCTAGTTTTATAACTGGAAGCCAGGATACCTTTTTATGTCAAACAGTGTCTGTCATCAGTTTTTGCTGGTGCACCAGCTGTAGCCTCTTCTCTGCAGAGATAGTCTGGGTGCAGTTAGCGATCCTCTGGTAGTGCCTCTGGTTGACTATTGCAATGCCTTTGAAGACCATCTGGAAACGACAGTTCAAATTACAGCATGCTGGCTGAGACTTATTAGTGTGGTTGTATCTCACTGGTATTGAAAGAATGTTGCTGGCTCTCTCATGGTTTCTGAGCTTCCCTTCAAAGTGTTGTACAGTTTAAAATTCCAGTACTTAAAGTTATGCCCTTTTGTACAGCAACCTGAACATGTATTGAGGTCATTCTTGGAGACTCCTTCAGGTACCTCTCACCAATGTTGTCCATTTGTAGTCTAGCCAAGATCTTTTTATTCTACTAGGCTTCTTACCATATGTAAAGTTCACTTTTAAAATATAACATGGTGGGATCTTCTTTGTTTTTGTATTTTATTTTGTCTTTGTAAACTGCCCTTGATTCTCTGCTAAATTTGGCACATACATTTTTGAAAATAACAGCAGGGTGAGTGGAGGGGAGAGTACCAAATTGGAGATTGCTTGAAGTACAATGTTTTGACCTTGAATTCCCTTACAAAGCATCAGGCTGTACTGCAATATATATATCATTTTTATCTTCAAAAGGTAGGTTAGGCTGAGTGAGTGACTTGTGATAGGGAATTTGTGAACTGCACAGATAAACTGACTTTCAGAACTATATATCCTGCTTGAATACATGCATGCACAAATATTTGCTATCGACCCTGGACCCAAGAAGGAACTGGGATGCCAGTGGCAGTTTTAAAATACAGCCACTATTTATAAGATCTGCAACATATATATGCATATGCATATATAAAACTTGGATAGGAAAAAGCCCAATACAGACTCAAACAAAGTCTTTCCAGTCCACTGACTCAACAAATGGACTGAGACCTAAAGAACTGCAATAGTCATATGTCTGACTTCTTCGTAGATTCCCAGATGTGATGAAGAGATTAAGGGATCCCTTCCTTCCATAGACAGGACAGTTTACAAAAATAAGCTGCCCTATCCCAGAATACATCCCAAAGCTTAAGTCTCAGTAAGTTGACCTTTGAATCACATCAGTCATTATGTGGTGATGTGGTGATGCCATGAACTATTTTCCATTTCTATTACTGGAACCCACAAGCCGTGACAAACTGGTGATATCTGTAGGTTGACTGGCTTTCAATTGCCTCCTACTGTTGCAGACCTCCCATTAACTCTGTCACAAAGTAACAGAAGAAAAAGGTATGTGCAAAAACCATTACACAAAAGGCTGTGAAAACCCTAAAGGCAATCAGGAGCTGGGAAGTGCATTTTCCCCTTCCCTTCTAAATATTAAAAGCAGTATTATACTATGTCAGTCTGAAAGCCTGAGACTTGGAGCTGACCTATGAAAGGAGAAAAAATTGCAGGGTGAGCTGAGAGGATCCAAGCTATTCCCTGGTGTCAATATTGTACCTAATTTGAATCACTGTGTAAAGCCTAAGAACCAGTGTGGTGTAGCATTTATAGTATTGGACTGAGACGTGGGAGATCTGAGTTCTATTTCCACTCAGCTTTAAAGCTCAGACTTTGGGCAAGTCACTGACTCTCAGCCTTACTTACCTCACAAGACAGACAAAATCAAGAGGAAGAGGAGAAGTATGTATGCTGCTTTGAGTTCCTGGTAGGAAAAATGGTGGGACATATATAAAAAATCCAACCCTTAGAAAAGCCCACCCAGTCACAAGAGGGAAAGGGAGTGTGTTTGGCTATGAGTTTTATCCCTTCTTCTAACAATCTGATGTTAGCCTTGAGCCAATTTAACTAATTGCTAGAGGAGAGGAAAAGTATTGTCAGAATTAGAATATCTTGCCTAACTTGAATCACTGTGTAAAACTGGACTACTTTCAGCCAGTGAGGCTTATGTGTTCAAGAAGTTGTTCAGAGTTTTCATACTCTTGATTTTTACCCCTGGGTATTATTTCAGTAGATATAGAAATACTCTCCCCCTTGGCGGTAGTGTCTGCATATTTCTGTGGTAAACAAAATACAACGGAGGGCATATGTGTGGTAGTAACATTAGTTTTAAAAGGCACTCATTGTGAAATCTTGCCTATTCCAAATGTTTGAACAGTGTTCTGCTGAATCTCTGGTTTGCTAAGCTGATGGTTGCTGAATATGACCAATTGGTAAATCACTGCAGTTCTTCCTGCTTAAGGGGTGGGGTGTTCAGAAATTGAAAGTATGACAATTTCATTGTAGGACAGGGAGACCCAAGCTCTAAAATTTTGTCTAAAGCGGGGTAAGCAATGTGTGACCTTTCAGAGGTTTTGAGTTACAGCTCCCATGATCCCTCACCAACAGCTGTCTAGAACATGACCGATAGGAACATATTTTATTTATTTATTTATTTATTTAGGATATTTGTATGCCATCCTTTGAGAGAGTTTTAGGCCAGAAGTTCCTCAGATCTGGAACATACTGTAGTTATAAGTTGTTCTGCCCCCTTCCTGCAATCCTAGCCATGGAATGTAGTTTAGGCTGCTTTTGGTATTCTCCCATTTGTCCTTGCTTTGGTTTTTACTGTGTCAGGGGCCTCCTCCCTATTTGGACTAGTTAGAATTTTGAATAAATTCCATGAGTGCCAACACCAAATTGCTGACAAGGGTGTTGCTCACTTACAAAATGGTTGTTGTGGTGGATGTAGCCAGTAACAAAGCACTCATTTCACATAAAGCCAAAGTGTTATGGCTGAAGGGTAAGTCACTTGGCCAAGTTCATGAGCACATGGCAGGTTGTGGGAACTGAGCCCTAGAAGAAAGCTTCACTCCTTTCACCACTTTTAGTCCTCAGTGATGTACGAGTATGAAGGAAAATGGTGGTTTTTAAAAAGATTCTGAATGCATTGGGTGTGGGAGACGGAGGGAGGGGTGTGTTTATACCAGTCTTCTTGAAACTGGTGCCTCCAGATGTCATGGACTATAATTCCCATTATCCCCATTCTGCATGGTTATTGCTAGCTGAGAATGATGGAAGCAAACCCACACAGTACCAGGATGGGAAGGTTGGTACATGGTATTAAAAACTGTGTTTTCAAAGTATATGTGTTTTTAGTAGATTCAATCTCCTATTAAGCATTGTACCATTCACACTTGTTTTCCTTCCACCTTTACCGCTGTTTTGGGAGGGAATTCAAGGTAATGTCTTTAAAGATGGTTTCTGCTGAAATACCATTGACGGGCCAATTTCAAAAGGACACAACCTCTCCCTCTTGAAAACTAAGGATGCCATAGGTTTGATACAAAAGGTGGTTTTTTTTTAGTTTTGTTTTTTGATGTGCTCAGGATTTTTGCCAAGTTAGGGGCCTTCAGAAGATCTCTTTTCACCATTTTAAAGATGCCCATTTTAAAGGAAAGGTTATACTGTGGTGCTCCTTCCATCTCTAAAATGAATGAATGAATGAATGAAATTGCTCAAGAAACTGCCATATATATCATATTACTAACACAGTGGGTTTTTGCATTCAAAAACACATTCAGTCACTAATCTTATATCATCCTCTCTGATTTTGCAGTTGGGGAATGGCGGTCAACGTGTATTCTACCTCTATAACCCAAGAGACTATGAGCAGACATGATATCATTGCATGGGTGAATGACATAGTAGCTTTAAACTACACAAAAGTTGAACAACTGTGTTCAGGTAAGACACAACTTTGGAGATCTGTATTTATCAGTGACATTGCAGTAACATATCAAAACATATTTGAACACTTTCTTTGTATCAGCCATATGTATTTCTATTTCAGCTTCTGTCTTGTTTCTTTGAAATATGTCATTAGCTGCCTAAATATCACATGTTTTGCACAATTGACTTTTCCGTAATGTATGGAACTTGGAGGTGGGAAAGGGATCATAAATTCACATAGTGTCTTTCCATTGCCATTTTGATTTGTAGTGTAAGATGTGTTACATTACAACAGGGGTTGGCAACCTTTAACACTCAAAGAGCCATTTGGACCCATTTCCCACACAAAAGAAAACACCGGGAGCCGCAAAACCCTTTTGGCATCTAAAATGAAGATAACACTGCATATATCGTTTTCTACCTTAATGCTATGTATATCTTCATTGTGATTTAGCTGCAGCTCTTGTTCAATCACTAAAAACTATTATTTTTAATCTTACATTATAAACTAGTAGGATTCTTTTCGTATATTTTGAATAGGAGAACAGCTTTCTGCAGAGTCAAAGTCAGTGCTAAAGGGCTGCATGCATTAAACAACAAACCCCATAAGTTCGTCAGCAGTAAAAGCAAATGAATCTACCCACTTATCATTAAACGTTTGGTTTTCTTCAGAAACTTTTCTTCAATTTATCCCTGGTTGGCCTAGCGGGGGAAGTTGCAGATATAGGTGTGTTTAGTGACTGATTAGCAGATAAATAGTCAAGTGCTTTGAATTGTGACAGGTCCCAAGCGCAGCTTTTATCATTCAGAGGAAGGAGATTACATTTGGACAAAGAGAATCTTTTCAATCTTTTCAGCAGCGTTAGTGGTTAGTGTAACATGAGAGCCTGCAGGAAGCTTGTTCCATTCTTTCCCTGCAATGTTGCAATTTACTTGACCTGCTAGCACAGCATTCCTGAGTGGATGCCTCATCATCACCTGTTGGTATTAGTAACTCGGAGCCTCAGTTGCAGATCGGTTGCTGTGCCGCATATTTTGGGCAACGGAGCCGCCGCAGAGGGATTCAAGAGCTACGTGTGGCTCCAGAGCCGCGGGTTGCCGACCCCTGCACTAGAAGAATTCACATGTTGATTTCACCCACAAGAAGGTTTATGATTGGTTGACTGATATATAGAGGGGTTTAGGTTTTCCCAAGAATCTTGAGAATGGGTTTCAGGGCTCATAAATGGTGGTGTCTGATCATTTGGACTTGATTTACGGTGGCTGTGTACCAGACCCCCTTCTGCAACTGTCATGACTAATAATTTATTCAATGTTCCATATCAACCGTAATACCTAAAAACTTCTAACCATCTTCGATGGGTAGAGTTGCTTGACTGGTATGGTTAGCAGCTATTCTTAATATGGTCCAGCTCTCTGCAAGAAACATAATGTTTGTGGCTAAACTATTTTCAGTGACCTTTGTGGATAGAAATTTTTAGACTTTCTCTGACAGGCTCAGGAACAACCATGGTAGCTGTTGCACCTATGCGAATAAGGGAGTTTTTGAAGGGAGTCTTTAAAATGGTCAGGTTATGAAAATTGATACATTTTGTGTTAAGTCAAAAGTTAAATTCATCTCACAAGCATCCTACATGCAGCAGCAAGTTCCCTTTTGTGAAGTAGTTTGGAGAATAACTTTAAAACATTGAAATAAGTCAGGCGTGTAAGGAGCTGTGATACTGTAACTCTTTTTGATGCAAGCTCAAATTAATAAAATCTACCAAGGCATTCAAGTTGCCTTGCAGTTATTTTAATGGACACATAAGGATAGTTACATGGAATGAGATGAAACACAATGTTTTTGTACTGCTTAAGGTCTTCCTAATGTATACATAACTGATCACTTATTTTCCTTCATGTGTGACATTTCCTGAAACTGCTTACATTATAATATGTTAATAGACACTTTTAATAAACTGTGCAGATGGTGCATCCTAGGAGAATAGAAATATAGTGAAAAGTAGTATTCGCTTTATATGTGTTCTCTGGTGGTTGCAAGGAAAAGAAAGTATCAGTTCTCATGTTGTGGGTACAGTTTGTTTATGATTACTGTTTATCATGGTGTCTGTTGAGGCAGGCTCTGAAAGCAGAACACCTCGACATGGGAGTGTTGAGGAAGCAGGAACAAAGTAAATAATTCACTCTAAACCATATGATTTCCCTGACTTATTTGGAGGTTTAAGCCACTGCTTACTTTCTGAACTTTAATTGGCATAAGCCATGGTTTGCTTATGCCATTATTAGTGATGTCTGAATTGGGCCATTGTTGTTAGCATTCACCAGCCAGATAATATCAGTGAACTTTTAAAACACTTTGTCTTCTGGGTATAAAATTAGTGTGTGGCACAGTATGAATGGGCTGTTATAGAAATTGTGAATTAATGAATGTAGTTGGATAATTTCAAATGAGGTGCAGTGTATTGCAGATGATGCCATGTAGTGTCCTCTACTAGCTTTGATGGGATGTTACAGGTTCTGGTAAGTGGAGATGATGCTTTGGCTTTGGAAGGAACAGTAATGTAAGGCACTGCAACAACCTGAGATGAGGACCCGTGAAACTGAGCCTTCCTGTGGCTCTGTTGGATGTGAATGTTTCTGTACCCTGCAACATAGATCTGTTGCTCGATCAAAGTCTAGTTGGCAAGAATGTCTGGCTGAGTTAGTTCAGTCTCAGATATATTGTTTGGTTTTTATCTTGATCAATAAAGTTGAAAATAGAATCTTTTTTAATTAAACACTTGGGTCTGCATCTTTGGATCATAAGATGATGCCTCCATGATCTTTTAGGTGCTTGACACAATGAGTTAGGCGCCTTTCTATTATTCTTGGTGGGGTCTTTTTCATTGTCTTTTAATGTTATTTTATGCTATTTTAAAATAATTCTTGTTATTTTTTTTTATTTATTGGGTTTTTATTGGGGGTTTTTGTACTTCATTGTAAACCACTCAGAGAGCTTTAGCTATGGGTGGTATATCACTGAAATAAATATGATGACAACGACGATGATGATCCCATAATTTGGTGAGGATTTGTCACTTTGATAGACTTTATGCATATAAAGGCATTGGTTTTATATGCCTTTATATGCATAGGCATGAGTTTCTCTTGTATTGTTGAATGGGATAAATAGTACTTTTGCGGGTTTTGTCTCCCCATTTCATGCTTTTTAAAAAATTATTTTGGGATCACAAACATTTTCTTAGAATTTTAATAACTTACCCTTTCCAAATCCTACTGATTTTATTTTGTTTTTATTTCTGACATATCTAGGTCAGCTTCTCTCTTCTGTTCTTACATTGAAAGAAATATTATGGGCTGCAGACTTGAAGAGAAGCCTGAGCCTTGTTCAGCCTCAAAGGTTGTCTACTTTCTTACAGTGTTTCTTTTAACAATTCTCTGAAATGACATTTGAATGAGTAGTTGTGCCATTTTTGTGTATGATTAAACTACACATGATTGCAATATAAATTAACAACTTAAGGTCCTAGCCCTGTTGATGCATAACGACAAGCCAGTACTTCTGACTTTAAAAACCACGGTGTGAACAAGTAGCATGCTCACGCATGCACCCTTCTTTTTCCTGCTTAACCCCTCCCTGTGCGTAATTTATTAAGCAGAGCAGGTCCAGGGTGTGGGGGAGGGGGATAGCTTGGATTTATGTCTGTACCTAGGATTATGGTCTATTGCCCTAGAAAAGCAGAATCATAAAGCAGCTTTTAACCCAGTTTGCTTATGAGTCCTGGCATGTTTGGGTGCCATAAACAATAATCCCAGTTTCAAGTGTCATCCTGCATTATCTACCCACTCATGTAGTGGTGGTAGTAATAGTGGTAAGAGTTCAAGGTTGCAACACAATATTAAATACACACACACACATACACACACACACTTGCATGAATGGAGGGGTGTACTAGGAGCAGATAGCTTGAATGTATGAGCATAGCTTCCTTCATATTGTGGCTTAGTAAACCAGTATTTGGGCTCATCGTCACATATGCATGCAGCCAGTATTCTGGAATTACAGTCAGCTGAAGCGTATTTTCCTGTTGCACACTGTAAAAATCAAAACATTAGGGTATGAAGTCAGACTTCAGAGTTCACCTCCATGTTTCTGCAGGACTCACCATTTTGGACCCAGCTGTATCTGAAGTGATAGAATAATTCGGTCACATCTGATTCAGAGATATGATATAAAAACTTGTCCCCAGTGGAATCTTTTAAAAAGGAGACGAGGCCAGAGTACTAAATTTATCTAGAGATGGATCGAGTTGATTATATGCTTTTCGGTGCCAGGTCAAGACCTTTTTATTTAATCAATATTTTAAAGTTAGTTAATTTCAATGTTATATTTATTTATTTAATCCATTTTAACTATGTTATTTTATACTGTCATGGTATAGCCAATTTATTTATTTGTTTAGGATTGGTAGGTTTTGATGTTTGTAAACCACCCAGAGAGCCCCCTGGGCTACTAGGGTGGTATATAAATGCAAATAATAAATAAATAAATAAACCCTGTGAATCTGGTGAAGAGCTAAAAGAGGCATTTATTTATTTATTTTTCATTGCTCTCAAATGTGTTCCACTGTACAGCTAGAGAATCACTAGCCTAATAGTACAAAAGAGAGAGTTCAAGAAGACAGGCTGAAAATGCCGTTTTCAAGACTGCAGCATAAGGAAGCTGCCTTATCTCTTCCCTAATAGCTCAGTATTGCCTAAGGATCTTCTGCATGTTGCAACACATGTGCTCTAGCACTGAGACATGAGCCTTCCCAATTTGTTACTAGTTGCAGTCCTCTTAGCTGATTCAGTTTGGCCAAATATTATCGCATGCAGGTTCTTCATGAAAAGCAGGCACACATTTTCAATGTATAGGCTTAATGTCTACAGTTTACTGCTCATTAGAATGTATTGCAACAAATGAGTGTGCAAATTTGAACACTACTGGTTTTCTTTTTACAGAATCCCATCTC